TTCTGCCTACCACAAAGGGGGCAGGGGAAGTTGGGAGACATGGAACCACTCTTTATCACACACAAAAAACTTTTTATGTTTTCATAATTTATTAATCCAAAATAAATTTCCTAACAACTTATGTCACAATAAACTTTTGACTATACGCACATATAAGTTCAATTAAAAAATTACATTCAATCATACGTGAATGTCACTAATAAGATCCACCATTTTTTATGTACCAGTAAGAAAAAATAACCTGCCGAGTAAAATGTGATATTCCACCAGCTGTAAAATACATTCCAATTTCAGAGATGTTAACTATGAAAATGCATATCCCAGAATGACACACAGCAACTAAAGATACGGCTATTTTTTCTTATTTTATTTTTAAGTAATGTGAAGAGTGTTGCAAATTTCACAGGAATCAGTATCACTTTGAGCTGAGCTGGGCATCTTATCCTTCCCAACTCAACATATACATTCTCTCCTTTGCTTTAAATAGATCTTTTCCTTCCCAGTTTCTGCTCCATGCTGGGAACACAGCACTCCCTACTGTCCTGTTTCCTCCTTTCTCACACCCATTTCTTACTCTCTCCTGTCTGCAGGAACAGAGACAGGAAACACAGTCTTCAAGGAAGAAGGTGATTGGAGAGAAACACGAACTTTGGACAGACGAATGGAGGTTTGATTCTTGGCTCACATTTATTAGCTTGCCTTTGACTGTAGGTAACAGAGAACCCAAATCAAAATGGCTTAAAAGAGTAAAGAAAATATGTTGAGGGGCGCCTGGGTGGCCCAGTCGGTTAAGCAGCCGACTCTTGATTACGGTTCAGGTCATGACCTCACAATTCATGAGTTCGAACCCCACACTGGGTTCTGCACTGACAGTGCTGAGCCGCCTGCTTGGGATTCTGTCTGCCCCTTTCCTGCTCGCGTCCTCTCTCAAACTTTAAAAAAAAGAAAAAGAAAGTATGTTGAATTACTCATGTGGCATAACACAAAATCTGAAGGTTGGGATCTCCTAAGGCTGGTAGATTCCATGGCTCAGCTGCTATCAAGAACCCAGCTTCTTCCCAACTTCCTTCTGTGTCACCTTCAGCTGGTTAGCTAGCTCCCCTTGAGGTCATAAGATGGCAGCATCAGTTCCGGGGGTCATATTTAGACATGGCAATGTCTAACCTCCTTCTTGTGTACCTCAAGAAATGATAACTTTCCCAGAAGTGTACCAGAGGACACGTTATCATATTGCAAGCCTAAACCAACTACTGGCAAAAATGGCATTTCCATTAGTGGTTTTCAACCTTGGCTATACTTTAGAATCACCTGGGAGCTACTGAAAATCTCATGTTCACACCCCAGGCCTCCCTGTAACCCTATCCCCTGCCAAAAAAAAGTCAGAATTTCTGGGAGTAGCCCCCAGGCATCAGTTGTTTTTTTGTTTTCTTTTGTTTTTTAAGTTTTCCTTTTAAAAAGAATTCAATGAGAAGCCAAGGTTGAGAACCACAACTTCAGATTCTTGTTGATACAACTCGAAGGGTTGAAGTCAGAGCCCACCATCTACAAACCACAGATGATGTCATGGAGGAAGGAAAGACACCTAAGCAAAACTAAAATTCTGTTAAGAAGGGGAGAAAACAGGGGCGCCTGGGTGGCGCAGTCGGTTAAGCGTCCGACTTCAGCCAGGTCACGATCTCGCGGTCCGTGAGTTCGAGCCCCGCGTCAGGCTCTGGGCTGATGGCTCAGAGCCTGGAGCCTGTTTCCGATTCTGTGTCTCCCTCTCTCTCTGCCCCTCCCCCGTTCATGCTCTGTCTCTCTCTGTCCCAAAAATAAATAAAAAACATTGAAAAAAAAATTAAAAAAAAAAAAAAGAAGGGGAGAAAACACAGGTAACACCTTCTTACAGACATGGTTTCCTCAGCTCCATTGCTATAATAATCCCTATTATAGGGTTGTAACGGGTACTGAAAAGGATTTCATATATATAATCCTAGCATTCAGCAGGTGTTTAACCTGAGATATTCTGATCTCAGTAAACTCCAAATGTGGCATTTGTGCTTCTAATTGGCAGTATGAGCCCCATATTCCTTAGGCCAGATCACCAAATCACATGGTATTCTGACCTCAACAAGCAACAGCTCAGAAGAAATCTTTGAATGCAACCCCCACCCCCCCCCCCCAATGGTTATACTTATTAAAACCAGTCAGTGAACTGAGACACTTGTGCTAGAAGTCAGGAAACCTATTAAGACAGGGACAAGTCATTTAACATCTGTGAGTCCGAATTCCTTAAATCCTAAAATTGTATTAAGTCAAAACACCAAAAGACTACACACTCAACTTCTAGTGTCTTACCATCTGAAAAAAATTGAGTTTTACAGTCCTGTGGCTTTTAGTAACTGACCACAAAAAAAAGTTATATGAAACCTGCTACACAGAGTCTTAGAAATAAAAATTTTGTTCACTTTACTTAGTGATTTCCACAATGAGGACTCACATAAGAACTGTTTACATGAATTATTAGAAGAGGTGAGGTTTTTACATATCACCTCCTTCCTGATCAAAAGAGGTCAAACAGGTAACTACTTTATCTTTTCTGTTTTGGCTCCAAAAAAGATCAGAGATAAATTTAATATAGCCACGTGAATCATGATGGCCAAATGATATAGGAAAATCCATGTACAGACTTTCCTATTACAACTCTCTTATGTACGTTTCTTCTGGTCCATATTTTTAACTGATGATGGCTTAAAATTTTTTTTTAATTTTTATTTTAAGTAGGCTCCATGCCCAATGTGGGGCTTGAACTCACAATCCTGAGATCAAGAGCTGCATGCTCTACTGACTGGTCCAGTCAAGTCACTCCAAACTATGGTTTTAGTATTCATGTACCTGCTTGGAGCTGCATCAAGGGTCACTGACGTTTACTTCACAGAAGAAAACCAAGAGGAGCAGTGAGGAGAAGGCAGCAGGAACTAAATGTGGTATGGCTGAGATGGCCATACGACAAAGCATTTAAGACCCGGAAGACAAATGGATCTTGATTCAGACTACACGTGGGCAGGGAGGGCTGAAGCAGGACACTGGGAAATGGGCTCTAACTGAGAAAAAGAGAGTAACTAGAGAGAAGAAGTAGAAAATGGAGGCAGGAGATTTCGCTGGAAGGTGCTATAACTCAGAAGAGACTCACAGCCTAATGACTGCTTTAGGTACAAAGGGCACATCAGAGAGAACTGGCTCTCCTCAACCTGATTTAACAAAAGTTAAGAGATTTCATGGACACAAATACGTCTGCCTCTTCAAAACAATGGCTGTTAAATAAGAGCTTAAAAAATGTTCATTTGAGAGTGCATGCACATACACATACATATGGGGGAGGGGCAGAGAAAGAGAGAGAGGGAGAGATTCCCAAGCAGGCTCGGTGCTGTCAGCGCAGATCCCGACATGGGGCTTGAACCCATGAACCGTGAGACCATGACCTGAGCTGAAATCAAGAGGTGGATGCTCAACTGACTGAGCCCCCCAGGCGCCTATAAAATAAGAGCTTTTTAAATTTCTCTGACTTCTCAGTCCCTGAAACCTCTGCTCGGTCTTTTAAGTTTACAAGTGGGATGGATACTGCCACTTGAAGTATAAAATTTTTTTCTTAAAATGAACTCTACATGTATGGGGCGCCTGGGTGGCGCAGTCGGTTAAGCGCCCGACTTCAGCCAGGTCACGATCTCGCGGTCCGTGAGTTCGAGCCCCGCGTCGGGCTCTGGGCTGATGGCTCAGAGCCTGGAGCCTGTTTCCGATTCTGTGTCTCCCTCTCTCTCTGCCCCTCCCCCGTTCATGCTCTGTCTCTCTGTCCCAAAAATAAATAAACGTTGAAAAAAAAAATTTAAAAAAATAAATAAATAAAATGAACTCTACATGTAAACATTTGTGCCTCATCAGACATAAACTGTATGTGAATTAACATTATAAGGAAATAAATTGTTAAACTGTCATAGAAAATTAAATGTTAAGTACTATCAAGGTTCTTAGAAATAGGAAAGTAGAAGGTAAATGTTCCTATTTATTCCCTTTTCTATGCAGTTGATCCCATATCCACCTCATAGAGTTATATGGCTTAAATAAGAACGTTAAACAGTATTAAATGAAATAGCATACAGCACATGGATGGTAAGTGTGCATAAATGTTAGCTTACTGTCCACCAATGTTAACTAACATACAAATTTGCCACAAACTTGACCTTCTGCAATTGTGAGCTTTGACAGATGTGGAAATCCTTTGAATTGTATATGATGTTTAAAGATACAAAGTATCAATTCTACAGGTGATATGACTACTTCTTTGCACAATTTCATTAAATTATTGAAGGCTTTTGCAAAGGATCCTTTTGAAGTATCAACTCAACCTCTCTCCTCTGTGACTTCCTCTGGCAGCCGCTAGTGCATTGTCTTGCCCTCCTCCCTAGCCAGAGCCAGGGAATAAACCAATCAACCTGGCAGAGAGCAATGGGCCATGAAGAGATGACATTCTTAGCTCAGAGACTCCTATGCTAAGGGCCCAGGAACTATCCTGGTTTCTTGTTTTCCTAGGTCTTATCTGATAAACCTTTGCTTGAAATATGTGCAACTCCATTTCTTACGTTAGCAGGATTAGGTTATAAGCAAAATAACTGACTCATGTTTTCAAACAGGACTCTGTTAAGAATTGTCATCACCTTTGGTGTACTCTATGTATCCAGCAAGCTAGAGATGCTATTATTCTTCCCAGCAATATAACAATATGATAATGACAGTTTCAGGCTCATAGTATTGTTCTAATAATAATCAGTACCACTATATAAAAGTGCATATTTAGAATTTCATTATCTGTGCTTGGAGAACTTTCTATTTGACGATTATGTTAGAGATGCCATCACATTTCTAAAATTTACATTTTACACAAATGTACAGTCTCACTACAGTTTATGCACCAATGAGAAAGATAACCATTCTTATATCTTAACAAAAAAGTTAAAAACTCCAAGTTTAGGAATGGTATTGCAAGAGACATTGTTCCATTTTATTTACAACACTAAGAAATTGGAAACAACAGGAAAGTGGTTTTAAAAAAAATCACAAAACTGTAATTTAAGCCATAAAACAAAATTGTGAGCAACCATTAAAAATATGTTGCAAATGTATTTAATGACATGAAAAGATCTAACTGTATAGTCATCATCTACCTGCTATCCCAATGTGTTCCTAGAGAAACCTAACAGTTTTCTCTCTTCAATCTCCTGTATCTCTTCATGCGTCCGCATTCAGCCTAATCTTCCTTCCTATTTTACTGACAAAACTCAATCAGAAAAGACTTCTGCAATTTACTACCACAACATTTGCCTACCAGCCAGCAGCATCTCTGCCGTATATGTTCCTTTCCTGTTCCACTGGTTGGAACAGCTTGGTGAAGACCAATCCCCTCACTTATACACTAGATTCTGCCCCTCCCACCATCGATTAGAGAAGATGCACAACATCATAATGACACAAGAGGGCGCTTTAAATGAGGACTCTTGTAAACCACTCCAAATCAACAGTCTTGAACAGGCGTAGACATAAGTACTCTTCATCCATACAAAACTATGGAAGAAAATAACAAAAATACATCAGCTGCTGAAAATTACCAACTTTAGACACCCCTACTCCCTTCCCCCCAAAAATCACGCAGAAGCAGCAAACTGTAACACAAAAATCCAAACTGAATTAAATATCCCTGTTTAAGAATATGAAAAAACAACCTGAATTGAAATTCAAAAACTAAAACAAACACTGAACAAAAAAACAGAAGTAATGAAACAAGAGCTGACTGACCTCAGAAATGATACAAAAAAGAGATCATGTCAAAAATATAGCCTATATTATAAGACAGATTTGAATGGAAACAATAAGGGTTACTGGATAAAAGTGGAAAAAGAACAAAGAATAAAAATGAGATAAAGAAAGCAAAATTTATAAAAGAATAAAAAAAGAAAATTCATCATAGAGAGGGAAAATACATAAATATAACAATTTACACAGTAACTATAATAAAAAATGACAGAAGCTAACCCAAACGTTCAGTCATTTCAATAAATGTGAATGGGCTCAATTCACTTATCAAAAGAAGTAAAGGATTTTTGGTTTGGCTCAAATAACAAAACCCAAACTATACATGCTATATAAGAAAGGCTAAAACTTAACTCAGAAAAGCTAAAAAACAAAGTGGTGGGCAAATAAATACTAAAAGCAAATGTAACCAAATTTCCAGTTGCAATGTAAAATCTGAAACAATTAGAAGGAACGTTTTGTACTGCTACATTAAAACCTATTAGTCTATCCTGTAGGTAGGATGGATGTTTAACCCATACTTTATACATCTTCCAATTTCACTATATGGATTACTGACATAACATATACTCAAGAATTGGTGTTTAACAACATTAAACATTTTTACCGTTTCATTGAGGACATTCTTTTTTTTTTCAGTTTATTTAATTATTTTGAGAGAGAGAGAGAGCAGAAGCAGGGGAGGAGCTGAAAGAGGGAGACAGAATATCTCAGTAGACATAGAAAACACACTTGATGGGGTGCCTAGGTGGCTTAGTTGGTTAGGCATCCGACTCTTGATTGTGGCACAGGTCATGATCTCACAGTGGTTGAAATAGAGGCCCATTTCAGGCTCTGTGCTGACAGCGTGAAGACTTAGGATTCTGTCTCTCCCTCTCTCTCTGCCCCTTCCTCACTCACACACACGGGCTTTCTCTTAAAATAAAAAAATAAATAAAAACTTAAAAAGGGGGGGGGAACACACTTGATGAAATCCAACACCCATCCGTGATAAAAGCTCTCTATAAAACAGGAATAGAAGGGAACTTCCTCGGGGCGCCTGGGTGGCTCAGTCAGTTGAGCGTCCGACTTCAGCTCAGGTCACGATCTCGCGGTCCGTGAGTTCGAGCCCCACGTCGGGCTCTGGGCTGATGGCTCAGAGCCTGGAGCCTGCTTCCGATTCTGTGTCTCCCTCTCTCTCTGACCCTCCCCCGTTCATGCTCTGTCTCTCTCTGTCTCAAAAATAAATAAACTTAAAAAAAAAAAATTAAAAAAAAAGAGAAGGGAACTTCCTCAAACCAATGAAGAGTATCTCTGAAAAACCTACAACTAAAATCATACATGATGGTGAAGGACTGAATGCTTATTGCCTAATATCAGGAAAAAGGCAATGATATCTGCTGTCCCTTCTATTTAACATTGCACAGGACGTTTTAGTCAGTGAGATCAGTCAAGAAAAAGAAATAAAAGGGAACCAGATTAGAAAGCAAGAAGTAAAACTGTCTTTATTCTCATATAATATGTTGAAATTCCTAAGGAACACACACACACACACACACACACACACACACACACACACACACTACAGCTAATAAATGAGTTCAGCTAAGTCTCAGCAAACAGGATCAAAATACAAAAATTAGGGGCTCCCGAGTGGCTCAGTTGGCTAGGTGTCCAACTTTGGCTCAGGTCATGATCTCACAGTTTGTGGGTTTGAGCCCTACATCAGGCTCTGTGCTGACAGTATGGAGCCTGATTGGGATTCTCCCTCCCTCCCTCCCTCCCTCTCTCTGCCCCTCCTCTACTCATGCTTTCTCTCTCAAAAATAAACTTAAAAAAATACAAAAATTAATTCTATTTCTCTTTACCATGAATGTATGACCCCAAAATGAAGTTTAATTGCTCTCATCAACACCATCAAAGGAAAAATACATGTAAATAAAGTTAACAAAAGTGTAAACAACACACTTGTACACTGAAAAGTACAAAACTGAGAGAAATTAAGGATCTAAATAAATTGAGATACATTCCATATTCACAGACCAGAAGATTCAGTTAACACTGTAATTTTCCACAGATCAATGTAATGTTTGTCAAAATTCCAGCACAGGTTTTTTGCAGAAATTTACAAGCTGATCTTGAAATTTATATGGAAAAGCACAAGACACTAAATTAGCCAAAATGATCCTTGAAAAGGTGAACAGGGGCGCCTGGGTGGCGCAGTCGGTTAAGCGTCCGACTTCAGCCAGGTCACGATCTCGCGGTCCGTGAGTTCGAGCCCCGCGTCAGGCTCTGGACTGATGGCTCAGAGCCTGGAGCCTGTTTCCCATTCTGTGTCTCCCTCTCTCTCTGCCCCTCCCCCGTTCATGCTCTGTCTCTCTCTGTCCCAAAAATAAATAAACGTTGAAAAAAAAAATTAAAAAAAAAAAAAAAAGAAAAGGTGAACAAAACCAGACAGCTTCTATTTCCTTATTTTAACACATAGTATAAAGCTATAGAATCACAAGACACTATCACAAGACAGTGTGATAACATATAAGGGTAAACATATAGAGCAACAGATAAACATATAGAGCCTAACATATAAAGATACACATATACAACAACAGAACACAATTTTTTACATTTACAGTCAATTGATTTCTGACAAAGATGCCAAGGCAACTCACTGGGGAAAGGGCAGTCTTTTTTTTTGAAATGGGGCTGGGACAATGGGATATCTATATGCAAAAAGAAAAATTTAGATCCTTAGACCACACTTTTCTCAAGAATTCAAAATGAATTATAGACATAAATGAAAGAGCTAAAACTATAAAAATTTTTAGAAGAAAACATATAGGAGAATCTTGTGATCTTGCGTTAGAATTTTTAGATAGAACCTCAAAACCATGATCCATAAAAAAAAATACACTTAGGGCATCAAAATTAAAATGTTCATGCTTTAATAGACACTATTTTAAAAATATAAGCATAAACTGGGCCAAAAAGACAAAGTCACATATTGGGACAAAATATTTCCAAATTATATATGTGATAAAGGACTTGTATCCAACATATAAGAACTCTTACAATTCAACAGTATGAAGATGATCCGATTAAAGAATGGGTAAAGATCTGAATTGACCAATGGCACATGAAAAGATGCTTAACACCAGTAATCATTAGAAAAATGCAAATTACAACCATAATGAGATACCACCTCACCCCTACTAGAACAGCCACAATAAAAACAACTGACAGTAACAAATGTGGGTGAGCATGTGAAGAGACTAGAATATTCTTACATTGCTATCTGGGATGCAAAATGATGCAGCCACTTTGGAAAACAATGTGGCAGTTCTTAAAAAGTTAAAAATATATTTACTGTAAGACCCAGAATCTCCAAAACATACAATGGAATAATGGGGGCAATTTTATATGTACACACACACACACACAAGTGATCGGGGTGCCTGAGTGGCTCAGTTGGTTGAGCATCCAACTCTTTCTTGATTTTGTCTCAGGTCATGATCCCAGAGTCGTGAGAACAAGCCCTGCATGAAGCCTGCTTGGGATTCTCTCTCTCTCACTCTCTCTGCCCCTCTCCCCCATTCGCATACACACTCTCTCTCTCTAAAAATAAAAAATATATGGGGCGCCTGGGTGGCTCAGTCGGTTGGGCGGCCGACTTCAGCTCAGGTCATGATCTCGCGGTCCGTGAGTTCGAACCCCGCGTCGGGCTCTGTGCTGACAGCTCACAGCCTGGAGCCTGTTTCAGATTCTGTGTCTCCCTCTCGCTGACCCTCCCCTGTTCATGCTCTGTCTCTCTCTGTCTCAAAAATAAATAAAACGTTAAAAAATAAAAAATTTAAAAATAAAAAATATATAAATCTTTAAAAAAATAAAGTTTTTTTAAAACAAAAAGTGATCTATGCTAAGGCATGAATGAATCTCAAAAACATCATACAATGTGAAAAGAATTAGAAGCAAAAGACCACATATTAAAGTTTATACGAAATGCCCAGAAAAGGCAAATCTAGAAATAGAAAGTAGATCCGTGGTTACCTACAACTGGATATGGGACTGGGGAATGACTTAAAATGGGTCTAAGGGATCTTTTGGGGGATGTCAAAAACATTCTAAAACTGGATTTGGTGATGTCACACAACTTTTAAATTTACCAAAAAGTATTAAATTTTACACTAAAAACAAGTGAAAACTATGTCAAAGTAAGTAAAAGGGCCCAAAATAGCCAAGGCATTCATGGAGAACAGCATTAGAAAAACTATCAAAGTATATAAAATGCAGTAAAACTACAGTAATTAAGACAGACTATTAGAGAAAAAAACAAATGAAGCAGAACAGATACCCCAGAAATAGATCTTTGTCTGAAGGAAACTTATCTATACCAGAGGGACCAGGCATTACAGATCAGTGGGGAAAGGGCAGTGTTTTCAGTTGAATGGTATGGAGAGAATGCTTATCCATATAAGGAAAGAGAGGGAAAATAAGGTGTTAAAAAAGAAATCAGTTAGTTTTAATTCTTCTCATCTCCCACTAGCCACAGCCACTCTCTTTTTCATGTAATTTAGCGGCTCTTCCCACATGGAAACTACAAGAGTGTACTTCCCTACTTTCCGACTTTGGACTTGGCTATATATCTTACTTTGGCCAATGGGTTGTGTGTAAATGTGATACAAACAGCCTTGAGCTTCTGCCAATGCTGTGAGAAGAACACATCCCAGCTAGCCCACTGATCCCAGGAGGAGACTCAGACAAACGTGGGCCAGAACCATCCTGGTCAACCTGCTTTAAGAAGCAGAGCCAACTTAGCCAAGGCTAGCCCAGATCAGCCTATTCCCAGCCAATTTGCAGATGCACAGAAAAAAAGAAATGTTTATTTTTACATGCTGAGAAGTTTGTGGTTAAAACCATTAAATTAGCAACTATTACCAGATACTTTTTTCAAAGGAGTAAAAAATAAATGTAAAAAGCAAAACCCCAAAACTTAAACGGATTGCCAAAATAAGCAATTCTGCTCCCAAGGCACCTCAGAAAAAGTGAAAAGACAGTTTACAAAATGGGGAGACCTGCCACACACACCTCACAAAGGATTACATCAGGAATATGTAAAATCAATTTAAGGACAGTCCAGCCCAATAGAAATGTAAGCAAAAAACACTAACAGGCATTTCACCAAAGATGAAACTCAAAAGTTAGCAAGCATAAGAAAAGACGCTGAGCTTTATGAAAATAAAGCTATGTGACATCACTTTTATGCCCAATAAACTGGTAGAAAAAAAAAATTAAAGACTTGACAATGCAAAGTATTGGCAAGTATAGAGTTAACGGGAATATAAACCATTCTAACTACTTTCGAAAAGATTAGTATTGTTTTAAAATTTTAAGATGATACAATTCTACTCCTTGGTTTATATCCAAGATAACTTACACACACTTACGTCAAAAGACATGTATGTTATTAGATATATTATTTATTACACATTATTAGCAATACTTTATATTTAAAATATTGAAAATAACCTAAATGTCCATCATTAGTAGAATGTTTAAGTAAATGTTAACATATTTACAGAATGAAATGCTATATAAAAGTATAAATTAATGAATAAGAGCTTTGTGGATCTACATGAACGAATCTTAGAAACATAATGTTGAGTGAAAATACCAAGTCACCAATAAATACACAGAATACTTGTTTAAAAAAAAATCCAAACTGGTGGGGATCCTGGGTGGCTCAGCAGGTTAAGCATCTGACTTGATTTCAGCTCAGGTCATGATCTCACAGTTCATGAGATTGAGCCACATTGGGCTCTGTGCTGAGCCTGCTTGGGATTGTCTCTCCCCTCTCTTTGCCCCTCCCCCAATGCTCACTCGTTCACTCTCTCTCTCAAAATAAATAAGCATTTAAAAAAGAATCCAAACTGTTTAAATAAAATCCAAACACAAGCAAAACTAAATATAGTATTTAGTGAATCACATACACTGGCAAATCTACATAGAAACAAGAGGAGAATAAAAATACAAAAGGTAGTGACAAACAGGGAAGCAGTTCCAAGGAGACGGGAGATACATATCTATGTATATGTATCAGATATTTTATAATTTTTTAGCAGGGGAGGAGAAAGAAAAAGATTTCTATTTAGAAAATGGAAAAGCCGGGGCGCGTGGGTGGCGCAGTCGGTTAAGCATCCGACTTCAGCCAGGTCACGATCTCGCGGTCCGTGAGTTCGAGCCCCGCGTCGGGCTCTGGGCTGATGGCTCAGAGCCTGGAGCCTGTTTCTGATTCTGTGTCTCCCTCTCTCTCTGCCCCTCCCCCATTCATGCTCTGTCTCTCTCTGTCCCCAAAATAAATAAACGTTGAAAAAAAAAAAAAGAAAAAAAAAAAAAAAAAGAAAATGGAAAAGCCCTATGTTTCCATGCCAATTTCTAGAGGTGTTTCAGAGAAATAAAAAAAAATGTGCTAAATTCTAATTTTACCTTTTTCATACCTTTATTTTCATGATGACTTCTTCTCAGTATCCAAAACCTAATATGAAAAAAAACCACACATTTTTACGCATCAATATCAAATTCAGGTACATCATAATGGTCTTGTAATTTTCTAATGATTCCAATACTATTTATCCTAGTAATTATAATACCGTAAGAACAACTGAAACATAACTTTTACATCTCTTTTTTCCATATATATTTCATACTAATAACAAAATACTTGGTATGACTTTTTTTTTTTTTAAGTTTATTTATTTTGAGAGAGAGAGAGAACGTGCACATGTGAGCAGGGCAGAGAGAGAGGGAGAGACAGAATCCCAAGCAGACTCTGAGCCATCAGCACCAATCCTGACATGGGGCTCGAACTCAGGAACTGTGAGATCATGTCCTGAGCCAAAATCAAGAGTTGGATACTTAATTGACTGAGCCACCCAGGTGCCCCTTGGTATGACTTTTAATTCCAGGGTAAGCCTTCATATTTTACAACATAAAAATATCCATAAATAAGCACCTTTGACTTTCTCATATTTGCACACACTCAAGAGAACTTCTGCCACAAGATGATATGGCTTGGTTCTAGAAGAATCTTTCATTTTCGCTTAAATTTCAATTTAATTTTAAAGGCACAGACTCTAACATATGGGAGATGAAAGAATATAAATTACTATTTTTTCAATTATCTTTCCTCACTGACTGGAAGAACATTTGAAGAAAACTTTGAAATAACTATTTAAGGATGCTCTGACATAACTTTAAAACATTCATCACCCAATGATTCTTAGCTTTCCTTCTAAGAGTATAACAGGAGTACTAGTTCTCCTATTTGCTTTGTTTTCCTTTGCTTAGCTTGGCTACTAAGGTTACTAACTACTTTGAAAGTTTTAAGAACATTCCAATTTATACTTATTGCTTGCATAAGTATAACGTTCTTACCAGCCATAAGTATTTTCCTTTAAGCTACAAAAAATATATATACAATGAATAATTTTCTAAACAGAATTAAATTCTAAGATTGTCAGTCCTAACGTATCCCAAATGGTAACCTATGAGGCATTCTCCTTAAAGAATAGTATGTTTCCAAATTCTTGCCTTAGTTCAAACATATTCTTTAAAAAAGAAAAACAAAAATTAAAATTCTACTTACTTTGGCCAACAATTCTTGTGTTTCAGGAGTCAGTGGAGCATGTGAAAACTTGCAATAGTCACCCTGATAACATTTTGTTCCTGTATGGTAAAACTTGCAAGGATATTCATGTAACCCAAGTGTTAAGGAAGAGAACAATTTTAATCCAACTAAAATAACTTGTAATTAACTTTATGTTCCCTGTATAAAGGCCTTTCCTTCTAGTAGAAACACTAAATTCTCTATTTAAAATATGATAAATTATGAATTGAACTATATGAAACATCTAATTTTAGGATAATTATAATAAATCAAGTTTATTGGCTATCACATGAAACTTTCCCTTCATATTCATTTTTATAATAAATTATAGGTCTGTTTCAATGACGTAAGAAAAGTTTGTGTGTTTTAAATGCTTTAAGAAATGTGATTATTATTTTTTTATAATTTTTTTAAGTTTATTTATTTATTTTGAGAAAGAAAGAGAGAGAGCATGAGCAGGGGAGGGGCAGTGAGAGAAGGGGACAGAGGATCTGAAGTGGGCTCAGTAGAGAGCCCCAATGTGGGGCTCAAACCATGAGATCATGATCTGAGCTGAAGTTGGATGCTTAACCAACTGAGCCACCCAGGCACCCCAGAAATGTGATTATTTTTAAGGCATTCTTTTTGGGGTAGAGGCAATAAAGTCAATGACGATGATAGGTTTTACAAATCTGGATCCTTTATATATTAGGTTTACTTAAAATAGAATGAACTTAAACAACTTCAACATTGTTTTCTAGAAAAAAAACTCTCAAGTTAGAGTTTGAGATTCCCTATACTGCATGACTGAAGGAAAACAACTTTTGTGGTACCCAAAGGTGCTATTACCATAAAATTTTTATGTTCTATGTTTTTACAACCTGTCTGTACCATTTGCATTAAAGAGTTAAGGTTATTCTCCAAATTAAAGGACAATTCAGTACAGACTATACAGAAAACAAGTACTCCCAAATGACGCTTTTTTTTTTTTTTTTTTTTAAACAAAGTTATTCATATGAGGGTGCCTAGCTGGCTTAGTTGGTAGATCATATTACTCTTAATCTCAGGTTTGTAAATTCAAGTCTCACGCTGGGGATACAGATTACTTAAACAGAAAATCATTAATAACAACAAAGTAGTTGTATATATGTATATACACATACATAGCTATATCTCTATGAATATAGATATAATTAGTTAATGTCACAGCAGAAATTCTGAGTCTTTCTGTGGGTTGAATAGGTCTCATGAACTTGCTGCTATGCTATCCAAGTGAAGGATCTTCATTTGAGAATTACTGAAGAATCCATCTTTTCTTTCTTGGGGAAAAAAAAAAATCACACAATTTAACCACTTTGATATGGATTTGGGCTTGGGTAACATAATTTTGCCATAGCTAAAACACAGGTTTTATTCAAAATTATACATACTTAAAATGTTCATGTAAATATTTATAAAAAGTAAAATTATATCTTGTGATAAAGGATATTATGCAAATACAGACAATTTTCACCTCTGGTACAATATCCTTGTACATAAAACTTGCACATTTCCTTTTTCTTCTCTATCTCTGCATCATGATCAAATTTACACTGGTCTCCCTGGGCGAAAGGAAAGAACAAGGACAAGCCATTATTTCTCAGTTAAGTCATGCAGTTCCTACTAATCTTAAAATAAGCAAATGGTTCCAGAAAAAAATCTGAGAAGCCCTACAGTCTAATTCTTAACGAGCTATCGTATAACCACTCTACAATCTTAAAATCTTGTTACATCCCAAACCTTTTTAACACAAAGTATTTTTTTAAAAAAAATGCTTATTTATTTGATAGAAAGAGCCTGAACATGAGCAGGGGAGGGGCAGAAAGAGAGGGAGAGAATCCCAATCAGGCTCCACAGTGCCAGCACAGAGCCTGCCACCAGGGCTCAATCCCACGAACTGTGAGATCATGAGCTGAGCTGAGATCAAGAGTCAGCAGTTTAACTGAGATACCCAGGTGCCCCTAAAAAGTGTCTTTTTTAAACATAAAATAATACTTCAGTAAAGCTTTCTAACTGAACCTTTTCCAGAAGGAAAGAGTTATAAAATGTACAGGTATGCTTTTAGAGTATCCAATGGAGACAGGAGTTGGCTTTTGTACATTTTTGCTATACCTTACATTTTAGTATATTTTTGCTTACGCAGTTTTTTATACCTTAATACATTTCCTTTCAAGAAAATATTTACAAACTTGTTTCCCCTTGTGTTCCACTGTATGTTGGTTGATGAATCCCTGGCTCATTCTCACATGCTGCTGCTTCTCTTTTGGTTTACCATCCTTTGAAAACAAAAACAAAGAAGTAAATGTGAGAAATATAAATTTAAATATTTTATTCCACTGCACAAAATTATTTTGACCACCTTTAAAACATTAAAAAGTGACTCTTCTAAACCGGCCTACATGCGTAAGATTTGGACTTTTGCACATCAGTTGAAAAATAAATGTTCTGCCAATTACAACAGAATTCCAGCACTGAACGTGTTTGGTCAATTTGAATTATTTTACTATACTTTGCCCTTATTTTTAAAAATTGAATAAGCAATTTTTTAAAGTGAAAATGCGGCTACTTGTGATAAAAAATGAAATCCGGGAATAAGGCTCTTGAGAACAACGGAGACAAAACTGGAGACTGTAAGGTAAACTGAAAGCGGTATACTCTTTAAGTTCAATGAGATGCTCACTGGGTGAGAGCGGAGAATAATAACCAGCTCTATCTAGTAAACAAATATAACCTCAAAGATGGCAACAGAGATATAAAAACAAAAGGTGACCTTTATATAAAAACAAAAGGGGAGGGCGCCTGGGTGGCACAGTCGGTTAAGCGTCCAACTTCAGCCAGGTCACAATCTCGTGGTCCGTGAGTTCGAGCCCCGCGTCGGGCTCTGGGCTGATGGCTCAGAGCCTGGAGCCTGTTTCCGATTCTGTGTCTCCCTCTCTCTCTGCCCCTCCCCCATTCATGCTCTGTTTCTCTCTGTCCCCAAAATAAATAAAAAACGTTGAAAAAAAAATTAAAAAAAAAAAGGGGGGAATCTCATAATACATTTTAGCTCTTTAGAAACCTAAACCATTTTAGCATGTTAACCTGTGGTACAATTTACATACAATGTCTGCATCCCAAACTTCTGAACATGTTTAGGAATTAAATATGTGCAAAGAAGAGACCTGACTACATTTACGTGATCTGCTTTGTAATGATGTTAAATTTCTACTTAACACTATCAAAATTATGTGTCCAATATGTGCCAGTTTAAATCTTTGGTTTTATTTGACTATGTTATTAAATTCTAACACAGGTTTATAATTTGCTACTCATGTAGAAGGGCTGTCAATTTTAGCTGAATAATTATTTGAGTCCATGTAAACCAAATGAAGGGAATACCAACAGGGTCAGGAGATACAGGCTGTGGCCTGGCCCTGTGTGACTGAGCAGATACCTGAACCCCCAGGGCTTCAGAGTCCTCATCTGTAAAATATGGAAACATATATAAATATGTTTCAATCCATAATATTTGGTATTTCTAATATTTTACCACCCCTGACTCTTGTCTTCTGGACCCAGCCTAACAAAAAAGTTTGTTTAAAACACCTCAGAAAAGCAGAGTCCAGAGGAGTCACTTACTATTGTATCCTGATTACATCTGCAGACCAAGGAAGAGGAACTTCTACAAAGCAAAATCAAAACACCAAGCGGATAGGGGGTGTTTTGTAAGCCAATGCTCAGAAATATTCATTTTTAATTTCCAGAGGGGAGTCAAATATTGATAGACCAGGAACCGCAATCACAGCAACTCTGTAAGACTCTGTGACCTTTGAAGTGTTCTCTGGGCTACTTTACCTTCTCCCTGCTTCTCCTGCTTTTCCAGTCTCTGACAGTACAACACGGCCAAATCAAGGGACTTGTGTGCACGTACGTATTCAGGTAAACAGGTTCAATGCTAAGGCTTAACACAGGTGCTGGCAGCTCATGAGGGAGAGGGAAGGAGCTGCAACAGTGACAAGGAAGAATGTGGAGAGCCAACTGATGGTGAGAGGAGATTTTTCACCATCAGAGAACCCTCGTTTTATGGCTTGCCACTGAGGTAGGCGCAAGATGAATATCCTGCAGCATGTAGGCGTTCTCCTACGTGCCCATACTCTTGTACCTGTTCCTGTGAGCCACTATTCCTCAGTGAAGCGTTGGATCCTTTGTGTCCGGCGCCAGGCCATTTTCGCTTCATTTTCTTCTGTTTACCATTTTTCTGTACAGCTTTAAGGTTTTTATTTTTTTGTTTAACAACTAAAAACAAAAAAGTTAATTCTGTTTAAATCTTAAACATTAAATTAAATCTTAAAATGCTTAATTTTAATTTATGATGACATAAAAGTACAATGGCAGTTTACTTTAAACATTTGTTTCTTTTTGAGAGGGAGAGAGAGGGGCGCCTGGGTGGCGCAGTCGGTTAAGCGTCCGACTTCAGCCAGGTCACGATCTCGCGGTCCGTGAGTTTGAGCCCCGCGTTGGGCTCTGGGCTGATGGCTCAGGGCCTGGAGCCTGTTTCCGATTCTGTGTCTCCCTCTCTCTCTGCCCCTCCCCCGTTCATGCTCTGTCTCTCTCTGTCCCAAAAATAAATAAACGTTGAGAGGGAGAGAGACAGAGTGTGAGTGGGGGAGGGGCAGAGAGAGAGGAAGTCACAGAATCCAAAGCAGACTCCAGGCTCTGAGCTGTCAGCACAGAGCCCAACGTGGGGCTCAAACTCATCAACCAGGAGATCATGACCTGACCCAAAGTCAGATACTTAACTGACTGAACTACCCAGGCACCCCGGCAGTTTACTCTTAAGTACATTCTGGGGCGCTTGGGTGGCTCAATCAGTTGAGCATCTGACTTTAGCCTGGATTATGATCTCATGATTCAGGAGTTCAAGCCTCACATTGGGTTGTGCTTTGGCAGCTCAGAGCCTGCTTCAGATCCTCTGTCTCTCTCTCTCTCCTCCTCCCCTGCTCGCTTGCGTACTCTCTCTTGCTCTTAAAAATTAATAAACACCTAAAAAAAAAAAAGTACATTCTATAATAATCCAGGAGGAGTTCTCCACTGCTCACTGAATGAAAAGTGGTATGATGCTGACCTTTCTGGAAGCTCTGGGATTAAGAGACCAAAAGGAGAATTAATATATTCTGGATCCCCAATTCATTCCTTATGAAAATAGATAAGGTAGGGAGGCCTGGGTGGCTCAGTCGGTTAAGTGTCCAACTATCAGTTTCGGCTCAGATCATGATCTGGCAGTTTCATGAGTTCAAGCCTCACATCAGGCTGTGTGCTGATGGTGCAGAGCCTGCTTGGGATTCTCTCTCTCTTTCCCTCTCTCTCTGCCTCTCCCCTACTCATGCTGCCTCTGTCTCTCTCAAAATAAATAAACTTAAAAAAAAATTTTTTTAATAGATAAGGTATAGTCAGGAAGAAAGAAAAGCAAGATAATTAATGAAATCAATCTTGCTTGCCACCAGCCAGATCCTTTTGAAGTGTTCAGAGTATAATGGAGCTAATTAGGAACTGCCATAGCACTATAAAAGCAAAACCTTCAAATGTTTAAAATGACCTCTTACATTACTGTCAGAGTTTTCACTGAAAACATTTTATATATGAGTGCCTGGCTGGCTTAGTTGGCAAAGGATGCAACTCTAGATCTTAGGGATGTGAGTTTGAGCCCCACACTGGACAGAGTGTTTAATTTAAAATCAAAATAAAAACAGATTAAAAAAAAGAAAAAGAAAACATTTTATATAGATTAAATTTATCTATAGACTGATTTTAAACAGAAAAACATTTCAAGAGAAAAAAAGCAGTAAAATAAGAGGATTAATTTCGTTTACCATGGTCATTTGCCCTCATATCTATGACTAAACTTTATTTGATTAATCTAAAAGAATATTATTTCTGAGTTTAATCTGGCATACCACTATAACAGATATGAAATCAATCCCTCCCTACAACACAGCAATACAAACAGGCACATCTTGTCCTTCATATATGCAGAGGCAAAGGATTTAGCATTCTCCCTTTCAAAGCAGTCATGGCCTTTGATAACCCTGCTGTACTTTCCTCCTATAAACTAAGCATTTGTACACCAAATGGCCAGGTCTCAGGGGGGTCTCCGGCCATGCAAGCTCACATCTGGTGTAAAGATCCATGGAGGGGCATCAGGGTAGCTCAGTCAGTGAAGCATTTAACTCTTTTTTTTTTTTTTTAATTTTTTTTCAACATTTATTTATTTTTGGGACAGAGAGAGACAGAGCATGAATGGGGGAGGGGCAGAGAGAGAGGGAGACACAGAATCGGAAACAGGCTCCAGGCTCTGAGCCATCAGCCCAGAGCCTGATGCGGGGCTCGAACTCACGGACCGCGAGATCGTGACCTGGCTGAAGTCGGATGCTCAACCGACTGCGCCACCCAGGCGCCCTGAAGCATTTAACTCTTGATTTTGGTTCAGGTCATGATCTCACAGTTCATGAGATCGAGCCCCAAGTCAGGCTCTGTGCTCACAGCACAGAGGATGCTTGGCATTCTCTCTCCTCTCTCTGTCCCTCCCCCTCGCAAAGTAAATAAACAAAAATAAATAAATAAATAAATAAATAAATAAGATCCATGGAAAGCATGATCTTCCTATGAAATAAAACGCAAGAGAAAACTCCCCCCCTCCCCAAACCCCAATCTGTATATGGACAACTGTGATTGCTTCTCTAGATAAACACAAAATGACAAAACAGTCTCACCCTTACCTTTCTGGGTGTCCTTCACTCCCTCTTTCTTCAATTCTTCAGGAAATGGTAAGGACTGAGCAGCATTTGCCATTTCTTTAGCTTGTATATACTGCTGAAGCTCTTTAGCAAAAGTATCTTCTGATTCCTGACTGCAGGTATCATTATCACTATATACATCATAGTCCTTACTTCTTGATTTTCTAGGTAGCAATTTCTTCGGTGATGCTGTAGAGTTCCCCAAGTGCCTAAACTAAGTAAAAATTAAATTTTCAATTTTAAAAACCTAGCATAATTCAACGCAATCTGGTTATAAAGAAGAAATAAAGACCAGCCATGAACTGATCATTGTTGAAGTTGGGTGATGGGTATACGGGGGTTCATATACTTTTCTTTCCACTCTTACATACTTAAAATTTTCCAGAATTTAAAAAAAAACATAAACAAAAAACACAACATATTGTCCTTGAAGAAAACTTAACACAAGATTCTGAATTTGTACACTAGATGTACTCTACTGAATTAAAGACGAAACCCCCAAATCTTAATTATTTGATATAATTTTATTTTATTGAATTATAGTATTACAATTCACATTTTATTTCTCCCTTTGCATCCCTTTGCATACTTTAAATGGTTTAATTCAATAACTCATCATTTCATAAAAGAACAAGTAAACTGTAATGGCCCAAGTGAAAATCTATACTACACTAAGATATATCACAGCTAGCGAAGTCCGTTATTTTACCTGTAACTCACAGCATTGGTGGCAGAGAAGGTGGCAGCACTGACAACAAGGAAGAAAGAACTGCCCCGTTCTCTATAATCAAGTTAATTTTACTTTCAGAAACAGTTTTCTAACACTGTTGTTGCAGCTGCCCCAAGGCGACAGATGCATACACTGGCACCCACACTGGAAGAGCAAGCCAGGTAAGGCAACTGACCCTGGGTCAGCCTGAGATGATCACAGGAGACAACTTAAAGTACTCTGAATTAAAGTACCAGAATTCCCTAGTATTGGTTATATAGGTATTTATACTCGATAACCCAGGTGGATCAAGTTGTATAATTATAGTTAGTATATATGATACATTTTAATTAAGGTTTATTTTAAAAAGTCCAAGTGTCAAAGGGCTCCTGTTTTGATATCAAGAAGAGATGACATGTCTACCATTAAATTGACCAATGATCCTGCTCCAGAGCATGCTTTGGGGCCTGGTCTCTTACCTACTTTCTTATAACTGATCAAGGCAACAGACTCAAACAAACCAGAAGACTATTATAAAATATACTAAGTGGCCCAATTTAATGGTTTACCTTTGATGATTAACTTCAAAGCTAGGAGTCGTACCACCAGAGGATTTATCATAGGCTTAGAAAATGACTTTGCTCCCTGCCTGAAGAATCCAAACAAGTGGAGAAAGTTTCCTAACCTGACAGTGGCCTTAACGTACACCTCATCTTCATTACACCAGACAAGACTACCAACCAATCCAACAATCATCAGGCCACCAAGTTCCTGGTCTCCAAGTTTTCAAGAAAGAGCACCTTTTAAAACTAAAGCCATAGAATGAACTTGTAAATGTATCTTCTTCCAGTCAGGGGTTGGCAGATATCAGCCTGGCCTCTTGTTTTTGTAAATAACGTTTTGCTGGAACACAATCACACCCATTCATTCACTTCTCTGCTACCTGTGGCTTAGTTGTGACAGAGACAATATGGCTCACAAAGTCAAAATGATGCACTAGCTGGTCCTTTATAAAAAGTTGGCCAGTTTCTGTGATAATTATGTTTACCTTGGTTTTCGCCTTTAATTTCATTTAATGGGCACAGGGAGAATCATTCAATTATGCAACAGCTTCGCGAAGCTTAGTCAAACACACAGGAAATTCTATTCAGCGTAACTGAATCAAAATATCACAATGATCCAAATGAATAATTAAGTGCTCCCTCACAAACAAAATATGTACCAAAGCAGACCCCTTTTAACAGGTAATAATATGTCTGATTCGTTTGTATTAAATGAAAAGATGAGACGACTTGGCAACATGAATAAAACCAGGAAGATCATCAATTATGTTGTTTTTTATACATTAGAGATGAGCACTCCTAATGGATATGATTACTCTTAGAGAGCAATGAAATACACAAAATATGAATGATTGCTTTAATACTTTTCTTCATGCAGCTTGCTTTGATATTTGTTGTTCTTTATGTAGTTTAGAAAGCATATAAATACACTATATAACTTTTTTCCCTTCAGTGAAGGAGTCTAAATAAAAATTTTTTTAAGCAAAAGATTTTTAATTTAGGATGATTTATTGAACTAGTGTGGCCTCCTGAAAGTCCACAGAAATAAAAGTATAGAGGGGCGCCTGGGTGGCGCAGCCGGTTAAGTGTCCGACTTCAGCCAGGTCACGATCTCGCGGTCCGTGAGTTCGAGCCCCGCGTCAGGCTCTGGGCTGATGGCTCAGAGCCTGGAGCCTGTTTCTGATTCTGTGTCTCCCTCTCTCTCTGCCCCTCCCCCGTTCATGCTCTGTCTCTCTCTGTCCCAAAAAATAGATAAACGTTGAAAAAAAAAATTTTTTTTTTTAAAAGAAATAAAAGTATAGAAATGTAAAAACAGTTCCATATTAGTGGGGGTGAGGGGGAAATGGAGTACATTCATCAGTAATTGAGACAAGTTTAACAAATTATTGGCAAACATTTGAAAAACAAAAAGCAAATGATAATTGGGAGGCTGGGCTTATGTTGGTATGTGAGAAACGGGGCTATAAATGAGGATGAATTAAAATTCTACATAAAAACAGACAAAGCTATTGTTAACAAATTCTCTCTACCCTACTCCTCACCAGAATACATACAAACAAAAATTTACCCTGGGCAAAAAAGAGAATAAAGAAATTGAATAAAATGTCTGATAAAAGCCAAGTCTTGTTACCTGGGTACTAAGACCCCAGGATGAAGTCCTCCACATTCTGGCATTTGAGAGCAACCCCCACCAGAAATATACTCCATCCACTCAACCTACAACAGGAGTTCTACCCCACTGTCCAGAAGAGATCCGCCCACTGGGGTCTATGGACAGAATTCAATGAACTTGAATGGCAATAAAAATCACACATTATTTGCATCATCAACCCTTAAGTTGACATTTAGCATCTTCCTGTTGTGAAACACAGGCCAACAAACAGCAGTAGTATCAGCAGTACCAGCAACTGTCACTAATAGAATCATAGTTACTTTCATATATCACCTTATAGTTGTTGCAAATCTCAAAATATCTTTTATGTTCATCACTATGTCAAAGTTACAATAATTAGACCTGTTGGACCTTATTACTTAGTACATTAATAAAGAACATATTACTCTTTTCCCATTTGTTTTATTTTGATCACTATTATTTCAATAAAATAAATTTCCTTTGTAATCCAACATAGTCTATTTTATTCACTTAAAAACATTATTCTGAGAAGGGACCCATGGACTTCACCAGACCGCTGAAAGGGATGCATAGCACGAAGCAGGCTGCAGGAAACCCACTTATCCGCACAGCCCACTCATGTACAGAGAATGTCCAGTCAAGCTTCCCATCTGGACAAAAGGCCTACAGAGACACAGACCCGGCAACACACCAGTTTAGGCCGTCCATCAACTCTCCAGGCCTATATTAAATCAAGGGACAATGAAGGCACAAAACACATGACAAAAATCTAGAGCAGGTGTCATTAAACTATGTTCCCAGGGCCAAATCTATCTTGCCACTTATTTCTGTAACAGCAAGCTAAAAATGGTCTTTAGAATTTTTAAATGTTTGAAGAAAAAAATCAAAATAATAATATCTCATGACAATGAAAATTATATAAAATTCAAATTTCAACACCCATAAATAAAGTTTAATGGAACACAGCCACACTCATTCATTTACATATTATACTAGATGCTTTCACACTACAATAGCAGAGCTGATCAACAGCAGAGTTGAATAGTTGCAAAAGAGACCATAAATAGTTGCAAAAGAGACATTCAAGACATCTATTTAAAAAATGCTAAAAAGCTGTAACATCAAAACAAAGAACAAGAAAGAACTCTTGAATAAATTATGAGAAACCAAGAGTTAGAAAATGGATGCTTAAAAAAGATGTAATTTATAATAGCCTCATCAAACATCTAGCAATAAACCTAACAGAAGGTATGTATGTAAGATACCTACAAAGAAAAGTATCATATACTGTTGAGAGAAATAGAGGACCTAAAGATTAGACAATTCAATATTCTAAAGATGTCAATTCTTTCCAAAAGATCTACAGATTAAATGTATTCCCAATGAAAATTCCACCAGAATTTTCCACGGAAAAACTAATTTTAAAATTTATATAGGGCTAAGAAAAAGCCAAGACACTTAAAGAAGAAAAATAAGGTGAGAGAACTTGCTTATCTGACATCTAAACTCACTATAAAGCTGCAGTAACTAACATGGTGAGCTCTTAGGGGAGGGCTAAACAGATAAACCAGCAGAAGAGAATAGAGTCAAGAAACAAACCCACTCAAACACAAACATTTGATTTTTGAAAATGGTGACATTGCAGACCAGTGGAGGAAAAGACCATTCTTTTGCTTCAGTGAATGGTGCTGGAACAACTGGGTATGATAACAGGAAAAAAAAAAAAAAAAAAAAAAAAAAAAAGGTAAAAAAAAATGTATTACCTCTACCTCACAGTATACAGATACAAAAATTAGTTATGGTGACTATAAGCCTTTGTGAAAAGCAAAACAATAAATCTTTTAGAAGACACTACAGAAAAATATTTTTATTATCTCAGGATATTTAGATAAAACACATAAAACACTAACTGTAAAGAAGAATAAATTTGAATACATTAAAATATAAACTTTTAGGGGCGCCTGGGTGGCGCAGTCGGTTAGGCGTCCGACATCAGCCAGGTCACGATCTCGCGGTCCGGGAGTTCGAGCCCCGCGTCAGGCTCTGGGCTGATGGCTCGGAGCCTGTTTCCTGTTTCCGATTCTGTGTCTCCCTCTCTCTCTGCCCCTCCCCCGTTCATGCTCTGTCTCTCTCTGTCCCAAAAATAAATAAACGTTGAAAAAAAAAAAATTAAAAAAAAAATATATAAACTTTTAATCAAAAAATGCCATCCTGTAAAGCCACAAAATAAGCAGATATCTGCAACAGATAATACTCAATGAAGGGCGGGGGGGAACCCTTATAATCCAAAATAAAGAACTACAAGGGAAAAAAAAAAAATCACAGACAAACCCGTAATACTAAGACAAAAAGACCTGAACAAGCACCAAAAAAAAAAAAAAAAAAAGGAAATTCAAATGGACAAACACAAAAAGGTGCTCAATCCCAATAGCAATTAAGAAAATATAAATGGGGCGCCTGGGTGGCTCAGTTGGTTGAGCGTCCGACTTCGGCTCAGGTCATGATCTCGCGGTTTGTGAATCTGAGCCCTGTGTCGGGCTCTGCGCTGACAGCTCAGAGCCTGGAGCCTACTTCAGATTCTGTCTCCTCCTCTCTCTGCCCCTCCCCTGCTCATGCTCTGTCTCTCTGTCTCTCAATAATAAATAAATGTTAAAAAAATTTTTTTAATAAAAAAATATATATAAACTAAATTACAATGAGAAACTTCACCAGGTGATAAAAAATAAGATGGATAATAATATCACATGTGGAGTAGCAGAAATACAGTCTTTCATATATACCGCTGGGAATAAAAATTGGCAAAACCACTTTGGAATACAGTTTGGCATTAAGGTAAAGGTATAGATGCTTATACTCTAAGACCCAGAAGTTCTACTCCTAGGTAAATACAGAACACACGTGCAACACGACACAAGTTAAAGAATGTAGCAGCACTGCCTATAATCTCCTATAACTTATAACCTCTACCAACAATGAAATCTAGTATATTCAATAAAGGAATACCATGCACCTAAGAAAATAAACAAGTATACACCACAACATCTATGAATCTTGTAAATATAATGTTGAGACAAAGAAGACAGAAAAGAACACATACAGGGGTGCCTGAGTGGCTCAGTCATTAGGCATCTGACTCTTGATTTTGGCTCAGGCCATGATCTCACAGTTCCTGAGTTTGAACCCCATGCCGGGATCCACACTGACATCATGGAACCTGCTTGGGATTCTCTCTCTCCCTCTGTCCCTCCCCCTCCTCCCACATGCACACACACACACACACACACACACACACACACACACACACACACTCTTTCTCTCTCTTTAAATAAATAAACTTAAAAATCATCTTTAAAAGAAAAAAATACAATCACTATCTTATTTCTATAAAATGTAAAAACAGTCAAGAAAAAACTGTGTTCTTTAAGGATGACAGCATCAGCAGTAAAACTAAACCTGTAAAGAAGAGCAAGGAAGTGATTATTAGCATGCAAGTTAGGTCTCTAGTTACCTCTAGGAGGAAACAAGGGGTTATGACTGAGAAAGGAGGCATCAGAGGCTTTGCACATAATGTTCTTTCTAGACTTGCAAATTGTTGGCTAGGGTGTTCTATTTTTAATCAGCTGTGATACTGTACATTTATGTTTCATGCACTTGTGAGTAAAGAGTCGGGCTGTAGCAAGCCTACTTAGGAATAATGCAGGTGTCCATCTTCTCACAGTACTGTTTCTTGGAATCTACTTAATGATTAACTGTAGAATGTTCTATCTGCCTAATTCCTGTATAGGATTATACATGGATTAGGGAACCTTAAGTGGGTATGAAGAACTGGGGTCTGTATGACTAAAAGAGTATTAAAAATTGGGGGGAAATCCAGGCTACAGTTTTAGTGTCAAGACCTTGGTTCTTGTCCACAGCAGCCAGACATGCCCCAAAGGGCAAAAGAAGTTATATACTTGGGTAGATGAGAAGCTGAAGATGATGTACCTGCTGCATTATCTGTCCTGTATCCTTTTATAAAGCCAAGTATAAAAGTAGCACATTAAATGATGCCTGGCTGGCTCAGTCCGCTAAGCGCCCAACTTTTGATTTTGGTTCACGTCATGATCTTGTGGCTCGTGGGCTCCAGGCCCACATCCAGCTCCGCACTGGCAATGCAGAGCCTGCAAAGTATCATATTAAAGCCTATTTGTGTCTTGTGAGTCTCACTCCCCACTCAAACCCATCTCTTTGTAATGTGTTAAAATTCACAATTAAAAAAAATTTCACGGGCGCCTGGGTGGCTCAGTCGGTTAAATGTCTGACTTCAGCTCAGGTCATGATTTCATGGTTGAGTTTGAGCCCCTCATGGGACTCTGTGTGGACTGCTCAGAGCCTGGAGCCTGCCTCAGATTCTGTGTCTCCTACTGTCTTTGCCCCTCCCCTGCTCTCTCTCAGTCTCTCTCTCACAAAAAAACATTAAAAAAAAAATTTAGAAAAAAAAAATTTCAAAGAGAGAGAAAGAGGCAAGAGAGGCATAGATACTAGCTGTTATGGGTTGACTGTGTCCGCCCCCTCAACATTCTCTTGATGAAGTCCTAACCTTAGAATGTGGGCTTATTTGGAAATAGGGCCATTACATGTGTAATTGGTTAAGATGAGGTTCCTAGGGTAGGTTCTAATCCAATATGACTGATGTCCTTATAAAAGGATTAATTTTGGGGTGCCTGGGTGGCTCAGTCGGTTGAGCAGTTGAGCGTCTGGCTTCGGCTCAGGTCATGATCTCGTGGTTTGTGAGTTCGAGCCCTGCGTCGGGCTCTGTGCTGACAGAGCCTGGAGCCTGTTTCGGATTCTGTGTCTCCCTCTTTCTCTGCTCCTCCCCCGCTCGTGCTCTGTCTCTCTCTCTCTCTCTCTCTCTCAAAAATAAATAAACATCAAAAATAGAAAAATAAATAAAAGGATTTTAGATACAGAAATACGCACACAGGGAGAACACAATTCAAATATGAAGGTAAAGATCAAGGTGATGCTTCTGGAAGCTATGCCAAGGAACACCAAAGACTGGCAACAAACCACCAGAAACTATGTGAGGGGCATGAAACAGACTCCCCCTCACAGCCCTCAGAAGGAACCAACCTTGCCAGCAGCTTGATCTCAGATTTCCAGCCTCCAGAGACACGAGACAATAACCTTCGGTTATTTAAGTCACCCACTTTGTGGTACTTTGTTTAGGGCAGTCCTAGCAAATTCATCCAAGCTTTAAGCTGTAAATCACTAAGGTTAGTTGAGTCAGCAAATCAAAACCCTTAAAAATTGTGACCTAATTTGAAAAGGTTTTGAAATAGACTACAACCCATTTCAGAAATAGAGACAACCAAAATAAAAGCAATACACTAAAACAGTTCACGTTAAATGACTAGTTTTTTAATACGTTTTTTGACCGTGTAACCAAGGTTTCCTTGATATAAGCAACTAGATCTCAAATGCTGACTATACTGAGACAAACAGGACCCCTGATAAATTTCTCACACCCACTCCTGTCTGGTGTTTTGATATGCCAACTTAATCTTACTTTTTTGGGTATTTGCTCACACTCCAGTTTTACTTCCCATTTTATTTTCTCTTCTTGTGTTTCTTCAACTTCTGTATCATCTATTTCATCATCGATTCTGTAGCAAAAATATCAAATAATACAAGAAGGGTTTTTCAACCTGGAAATGGTTCATACCACACCATTAAAATTCACTGCTTTGGCTTATCTTCTACTTGCCCTCAAAGAAATTCCAAATTCAAATTCTACTCCAAATACTCCAAGAACAAAATTACAGAAGCAGTAAATGTCAACGTGTGTTTGTAAGTAAAGTACAAACCTGAAATTTAATGCATAACCTTCATGTTCTAGTATTAGCAGCTATAGAAACCACCCATTCATTCATCCATCATTCCATTCATTCAACAAATACTGAGTATCCACCATATACCAGGCTGTAGGCCTTAAATCCTGGAACACAACAATGAAAAAGACTTTGTCCCTGCCTTGTGAGAACTTTCTATATTCTTGGAGAAAAAAAATAAAGCAATTTCAATATAGTCTGATAAGCATTGGTACATATATGAAGAACACTTAACCTACATTTGGGAGCCAAGGTTTTCTAAGCCTCAAAGGTATATAAGAATTAGCTAACAGGGGTGCCGGGCTGACTCAGCTGGAAGAGCATGCAACTCTTGATCTTGGGGTCATGAGTTTGAGCCCCACATTGGGTGTAGAGATTACTTAAAATAAATAAACACGTAAACTTTTTAAAAAGTTAGCAAACAAGGAGGAACGTAAGGGAGAATAGTATTTCAGGTAAAATGCAGGGTGTCCTTCAAGGTCAGGAGAGAGCCTAACTTATAAGCAAGTGGAAAGATAAAAAAGAAGTTGTTTCCAGACTTGCAAGGACTGAGAAGCTGAACATGCAGAGACGTCATCTGAGACAATTACTTGAGAATATTCTGGCAAAGCTAAAAATGAAAGATGAAGATGGGAAATATAAGAAGCTGGTGAACAAAGATGCCAATGAAATTTATGGGTAAAGCTAAATAATGGCTTATACTATAAATACCAGAGACTGAAAGCAATTGTGTCTGGACAAGTAGTGACTACTGAATAAAAGCTTAAGATAGGAGTTACATGCCTGGTAAAGGTAAGGACTAGGCAATGTGTACATTCTCAAAAAAACGTGTTACAAATGGAATGCGCAAGAATGTGAAGAGTGGCTCTGAGCTTCTTTCAAACTTAGGAGGAGCTCAGGCTTCACAACTTAATCCAATTCAACAGTTTACCACTGATCTATCCCCAGTTAGAGCCTCAAAATTTCTTCAGATAAGACACCAAGTTTGAGCCTTCTACAGAAGCCATTATTACAAGAGCCAATAAGCCAGATACTGTGAGTCTTCATTGCTCCAGTTACAGTAATGAAATATTTCATGGAGTAGGAGGCAACCTCCCCTGAGGCAAAGCAATAATGACAGTAATGACTACAATAGCATTAACAACAGCAGCAGCTAACACTTGCATTATGCTTTCCCTCTGCCAGAAGCTATTCCATGCATATTACCCACATCACAACAAACTTAAGACACACAGACCATTTCACAGACGAGAAAACTGAATTACAGAAAGCTTATAAAACTTCCCACAGACCTAGTTAACTGGAAGAGTTGAGATTGGAGCCCAGGCAGGCAGAGCCAAGTACCTATTCAACATATTCCCCTGGATTGCTACCTGACATATTTTTAATAGAGCCAAAACTGAATTCTTGATCTACTCCTCTTGCTATTTTCAACACCAACTCTACCCTTCTAATGATACCGACCAAAAACCTTGAAGTCAACATAGACTCCTCTCTCCTATCCCCATCCAATCTGTGAGAAAATCCAGTTTATCTTTAAAATATACCCATATTTGGCCATTTCTTGCTACTAAATACTATGATCCAAGCTTCTCTTGACTTGTTACATTCTACTCTCAACACAACCAGAATGACCCTGCTAAAATGTCACCCTGTTGAAAACCTTCCAATAGCCTTTCATCTCATTCAGGGTAAAAGGCAAAGTCATTCTTATGGCATCTACAAGTCCCTACATAAACTGCCTCCCTGACCCTATCATGCGTACCTCTAGAGTATTACTTCTCTTCAACTCCTGCTACTCCTGGCCCCTCTGCTCCAATGACCCAATCACACCATGTTCACTCCACTTCAGGACTTTTATACGTGCTTTTATATTCTCTCTGCTAGAAATCAATCTTCCTCACCTCCAAGTCCCTACTCAAATATTACTCATCGATGATATCACTGAGGCTTTAACTATCGTCTTTAAAACATCTACATTCTCCCGACCATCCCATCCTCACTTCCTACCATTTTCGTTTTCTCCCAGGCATTTATCATCACCTAAAACACTATCTATTTATGTACTGTGAACCAAGCATATAAATCTCATGAATATGGAGATTTTTATCTCTTTTGTTTATTTACTGCTATAGCCCCAGGGCCTAGGATGTCTCATATGTGGCAAGTGCTCAATACACGAGTAATCCCATCATAAAATTACTAGCAAAAAACCCAGAAACCATTAAAGATTAATTCATTTGACCTTACTTAAAACAAACAAAAAAACCTTTATGCAATGAAAATAAAGCCATAAGCAAAGTCAAAAGACAACAAATCGGAAGTAAAATATCTGCAGACCAGAGATCCTAAAATTTTAAAGAGAAAGACCAACAAAAACAGGCAAAGGATATGTATGAACAAGGAACAGTTCACAGATGCTCTCCCATACTTCAATACCATTCTCCACCTAATACTTTGGCAGAAATCCAGAAGTGTCTTTTATGTAGTTCAGTAAAATCGCTTCTCGGCCTTTTGGCTAAGATCAAGTGTAATATGTAGTTCAGTAAAGCTTTTGTGAATAGAATCTTTTGTCCAACACATCTTCAAATCGACAGACCCTATTGTTTTCTTACATGCAGCTATTGTTTTTGTGATGATTCACCTTGCCGAATTCTCTTACGTATTTCAATAGTCTATTAACTGGTTCCTCTTGTTTTCCTTTGTAGATGATCACCCATCTGCAATTAATTAGTGTCTTTGTCTCTTTTCAATATTTATAGATCTTATTTTAGTCACTTTGCCTTAGAAACGTAGCAATGAAATCAAATCATGGCTCCTGAAGTAAGACTGGGTAACTTAATCCTAGTTTTGCCACTTACACTGTGCAACCTTGACAAGTTATTTATCCTTTCTCTGCAATTTTCTCATCTGCAAAAACAAGGATAGTTCTTTTCTTCAAGGTTAAGATCAAATGACGTATTTCATGTAAAGCACTAAATAAAACTCTTGATGGTAGCCTGAATTAAGGTAATAGTTTTAATTAAGGTATTTGAGAGAGACGGGAACAGATTTGATATCAGAAGGTAAAATCAACCAGAATAAGAGATACATTGACAACGAGAGAAATAAAGGAACAAAGGACTGTGTGTCACAGTTTCAGCTTAGGGAAATTGGAAAAAATACATTAAAAGCTTAGAAGTTGGTTTTTGCATTTCAAACTCAGTAAAAAAAAAAAAAAAAAAAGTAAATTAGTATCTGCGTGTAAAGAAACTACACTATACACGTCTCTAAGAATGAGATCAATAAACTAGCACCGTCTGGCCAGCAGTGCCCCCGACTTTCTCAACCTAAAGGAAATGTTACATCTCAAAGGTGTTTGCTGACTTATTATGGTCTTCAGGGTCTTTTGAGGCAAATCAATGCACTAAAGGCAAACTATTCACCCTTCACTGCTTAATGAACTTAGGGTTTCGGTTTTTTCTACAAGAAAAAAAAAGCGGTTAGCATGTGTCAGTGAGAAATGACAATCTGTCCCCTAGGAGCTGATGGTCCGATGGAAGTAGGAGTACTTTGGGAACAACCCACTGGGTTTCTAACCTGGTTCACAGGGTCAGGAGCGCAAGGAAAGGGGAGCATCCTGGGGCCTCCCTCGACCCCCCTCGGTCGCCGCCTGGACCCCGCCGGTCCCCTCAACCTCAAGCAGGGTCCCGGCCACAGCCGTGGCGGCTTACGAACGGATCCCCACCTCCGGCGTCCGTCCCCGCGGCTTCGGAACGACCTCTCCACGTCCGACCCTCGCGTCTGCCAGGCCAACCCCACGCGTTCGCTCACGCACTCCCCGCGCGACCCCGCGGCGTGGCCCACGCGCAGCCCCAGCGGCCTCCGAATGGAACCAAAAGGCGGAACACAGCTGAGTCCCTGCGACCAAAGTAGAAAAAGATGCGGAATCACCTTTCATCAGAGTCCGTGGTCGGATTTTTACCCAGGGCCGGGTTGGGGGGCTTGGAGAAAAGATTCTCAAAATCCATCACCCTCACAAGGACCCGGCAGCTATAAAGTAACAGCCACCGCGTGAGGAAAAGGGACTCAGTGCGGCGCACTAGCCACAAGTCGCCCCGCGCATGCGCCGCCCCGTCCCCGCGCAAGCCCGCTGTCTCCTGCTCATTCGCGGTTCTGCGCACGCGCCAGTTTAGGTGTATTCTTTTTCCGTTCCCTTTTTGATCTGTTATCCATAATGTTTACTAGAATTTTTAAATTGAGTCCTTGGGATTCTTTCTTTCACTTTCATTAGGGGTAAGTGGGCATCCCAAGTTGGAGAGAATTGTGTCAAGGCAGGAAAATAGAGCATATATATGGAAAACGGAATTGTTCAGTTTTGCTTACTACAACGCCGGGGGAAGAGTGGCGATTGTGGGAATAATGAAAGGAAGGCTCAATCTGTAGGTTAGCTAATGACCTCGAACATGACTCACTCCTATTAGTGAGAGACTGATTCCTAGCGTGAATCAGAGTCCGCTTCCCATACAAACGAAGGAAAGTTCTTTGAAGCCAGACATCTTATTTTCCCCTGTAGTTTCACAAATTCTTTATAACACTTCTCCCTTCAAAACGTGGAGCCTATTCCCCTCTCTTAAATGTGGACTAGATTTAGTGACTCCTAATAAGTAACACTGTTAGATGGTGCCTGACTTCCGAGGCCAGGTGGTGAAAAGCATCACTCTTTCTGCCTTAGGCTCTTGAATTACCTACCTGAAGGAAAGTCCCGTCACCATTTCATAAAGTACTCATGCAGCCTGTGAAAAGCCAGCCATATGAGTGGCCATCTTGGAGCTGATCTGCCAATGTGACTACAGCTTCAGGAGAATCTGGAACAGGACCACCCCAGCTAAGTAGCTCCTGGATTCCTGACCCACAGAAAATATAAGAAGATAAATAATTATGTTACTGGACTCAGGTCTTTGGACCCAGCCATAGTAGAAATGAGGCTGGACCCAAAATTTAAAAGCACAGGCAAGGCTTTATTATGGGGGCAACAGCTACAGCTGGAGAGAGACAGGTAGTGACAAAGGTGTCAAACTGGCTCTCTGAACAATAGTCAAGGGAACTTTTTTTCCCCTACATGTATTTATTTTTGAGAGACAGAGCACAAGTGGGGAAGGGGCAGAGAGAGAATGAGACGCAGAATCCAAAGCAGGCTCCAGGCTCCGAGCTGTCAGCACACAGCCTGATGTGGGGCTCGAACTCACAAACTGGGAGATCACGACCTGAGCCGAAGTTGGACACTTATCCAACTAAGCCATCCAGGTGCCCCTCAAGGGAACTTTTAAAGGGACTGAGGTGGGAAAGGAGGGATGTTTAAGCATGTAGGGGTGAGGAATTCCAGGAAATTTGGGGCACAAGCCCAATTGACAAAACATGCTTCATACATATGTTCTGGGTGTTGTCTCCACTTCTGGGTGCATTTTTTAGCATTATAATGAGGGAAAAAGTCAGTGAAAATAAATGTGCTGCCCATCTTATATCAGACTAGTCTGAACCTGGTCTAGTCTTGTTCCTTGGCTGGGGCTTTGCAAGAAAAAGCAGTAACAGCTCACGGGTTGCTCTGCAAGAGAAGTGTTAACAGCCATGTGGGAGAGTTCCGGGTGCATAGGGTTTTGTTCCCAAGGTCCCTGTCTCATTTATGTTTTAAACCCACAAAGTTTTGGAAAAATTTGCTGTGCAGCAATAGATAAGTGATGTCCCTATCATTATAAAGCAGCTGGCCTAAACACAGAATTATCATATTCTACTCCTAGGTATATACACCAAAGAATTGAAAACCGGGACTCAAACAGATATTTGCATACTCATTTTCACTGCAGCATTATTCACAAGAGCGAATAAGTGGAAACAACCCAAGGAATGGATAAATCAATTGTGGTATATACATACAATGGAATATTATTCAGCCATACAAAGGAATAAAATTCATACACATGCTACAAATGATGAACCCTGAAAACAGTATGCTAAGTGAAGTAAGTCTGCCTCAAGAGCATAAATTACTGGGGCACCTGGGTGGTTCAGTGGGTTAAGTGTCCAACTTCTGCTCAGGTCACGATCTCACGGTTCGTGGGTTCGAGCCCCATGTCGGGCTCTGTGCTAACAGCTTGGAGTCTGGAACCTGCTTCGGATTCTGTGTCTCACTCTCTCTCTGCCCCTCCCCCACTCACGCGTTGTCTCACTCTATCAAAAATAAATAAATGTAAAAAAACATTTTTTTTTAAAGGCATACATTACTGGGGCGCCTGGGTGGCGCAGTCGGTTAAGCGTCCGACTTCAGCCAGGTCACGATCTCGCGGTCAGGGAGTTCGAGCCCCGCCTCAGGCTCTGGGCTGATGGCTCGGAGCCTGGAGCCTGTTTCCGATTCTGTGTCTCCCTCTCTCTCTGCCCCTTGCCCGTTCATGCTCTGTCTCTCTCTGTCCCAAAAATAAATAAACGTTGAAAAAAAATTTTTTTAATAAAAAAATAATAAAGGCATACATTACTATGTTTACACTTATATGAGGTATCTAGAATGGGCAAATCACAGAGACAAACAATAGATTAGAGACTTTCGGTGCTGGGAGAGAGGGGAAATGGGAGTCATTGCTTGATGGTTACAGTTTCTGTTAGGGGTGATGAAAAAGTTTAGAAGCAGACAGTGATAGCTGCACAGCAGTATGTAGTTAATGCCACTGAATTGTCACTTCAAAATGGTTAAAACAGCAAATGTTATATCATATATTTTACCACACACACAAAAAAGCAACTGACCTAATAAGATGTTGGAATGGCCTCTTGAGGACCAGTTTCAGTACCAGCTAGATGCAAAGTACGTTTTGTGGACATATGCTATAAATCAGCAATCAATAATATGGTGCTATTTCTCCCATAGTCGGGATTCGTGGGTCTGGGAGTCAAATCATGGAAATGGGAGTGGACCCTTCCTTTATCATCTCTCTGACATCCTAGTAAAATTTTTGTGTTGTTGTTTTTTTTTTTTTTTAATTTTTGCTTCTAATCGCTAAAACTTTGGGTTCTACTGGTCAGCAGAGTTTTTCAACCTCAACATTTTGACATTTTCGTTTGAGTAATTGTGGGAGACAGTTCTGTGCATAATAGGATGTTTAGCAGCATCCCTGGCCTCTCCCCACTAGATGCCAGTAGCACTCCTTCCCCTGTTGGCACCTGTATAGTTGTTACAATTTTTGTGTGCATTAGGGGTGCGGATGATTGTCAAAGATAAACAAAGCCAGGCATTAAAGTAGCAATATTTTTATTCAGTTTTTATTCAGAGAAAGAGCTGAGCTCCAGATTGTGCAGGGGTGACTGGGCGTTTTAAAGGGACAATGAAATAATGTATAATTCAATTTACATGAAATGTTCAAAAAGGCAAATCTTTAGAGACAGAAAGTAGATTATCAGTTGCCTGACACCGGTGTGGCAAGACAGGATTAATTGCAAATAGGCACTTGGGGGAAGGGAATGTTCTGAAACTGAATGTTGGTGATAGCTGCATAATTCGGTAAATTTACTAACAGTCATATAAGTGTACACTTAAAATGGGTAAATTTTCAGGCATATGTTTTAATATCAAAAGAGCTATTTTTTTTTAAATTTTTTCCCAACGTTTATTTATTTTTGGGACAGAGAGAGACAGAGCATGAACGGGGGAAGGGCAGAGAGAGAGGGAGACAGAATCGGAAACAGGCTCCAGGCTCTGAGCCATCAGCCCAGAGCCTGACGCGGGGCTCGAACTCCCGGACCGCGAGATCGTGACCTGGCTGAAGTCGGACGCTTAACCGACTGCGCCACCCAGGCGCCCCACAAAAGAGCTATTTTTAAAAAAATAAAGGGAAAATGAGAAGTGGGCTATCCAAATTAGCTACAATAAGACCTAGGTAAAATGGTTTACAATAAATAAGGTCCTGAGATTCTAATCTAACTCCGAATGTTAATTGTTACTCCCGACAAAATAGATCTACTTTTCGAATGTTTACTAGTAATGTATTATGTCAAAATGTGGTGGATGCCCGCAGAATTATCTATCAGTGTGCAGGTCTTATCAATGGCTACATTCAACTTAAAAAAAAAAAAAGTGCTATTTTTTTCCTTTTTCAATGTACATATCCAATTTTTTTTCATTTTAAAATTTAACCGACTAATTGCGATTGCTTCCGAATGCACTGCATTTACGCATTAGCCAGATGCATTTATACCACAAAATCATATATCTGAGAGGATTTACCATTAAGTCCATCATTTCATTACAAAACAAGGAACTTTCCTTCGGAACTAAATAATTTACTGAATAGGCCAAAACATTGAGTTATCATTAAAAAATTATTTCCAGGGGCGCCTGGGGGGCTCAGCCGGTTAAGCATCCGACTTCAGCTCAGGTCATGACCTCAGTCTGTGAGTTCGAGCCCCTCGTAGGGCTCTGTGCTGACAGCTCGGAGCCTGGAGCCTGCTTCGGATTCTGTCTCCCTCTCTCTCTGCCCCTCCCCTGCTCATGCGGTCTCTGTCTCAAAAATAAATAAAAATATTTTAAAAAATAAAAATATTTCCAAAGGTCACACTGTTCATAAATATAAAAACATGTGACGGCTAGTTTTTGTGTGTGTTTATTATTGACAGAGAGAGTTAGACAGAGCATGAGCGGGGGAGGGGCAGAGAGAGAGAGGGAGACATAGAATCTGAAACCTCCTCTGAGCTGTCAGCACAGAGCCCCGGCACGGGGCTCGAACGCACGGACAGCAAGCTCATGACCTGAGCCAAAGTCCGACGCTCAGCCGACTGAGCCACCCAGGCACCCCTAGGTAATATATACATACATATAAATAAAATATTCGTGTATATTTCCAGATGGAATGTTAATGTTTTTACTATATCACTTAAATCTGATTTAGTTTTGTTTTCTTTTATTAACTAATAATCAGGTAGGTAAATTTAGTATTAACTATCAGAAAAAGTCACGTCAACCCATTTTTCTCAAAACGCATTCCCAAGCACTAAACATTACAAAAAGATAGGTGCTACTTTGTAAGAGAATGTACATTTCCCCATTATTTAAGCGACCGAAGTGATTTTTTTTTTTTTC